AWAWWTYWYAYWMTWTTWKAGWATMWYATATATATATATATATTTAATATATTTAGAATTGGAATGGACTGCCCGAGGAGGTGGTGGAGTCACTGTCCATGGAAGTGTTTAAGGAAAGACTGGATGTGGCACTGAGTGCTGTGGTCTAGTTGACAAGGTGATATTCAGTCATAGGTTGGACTCGATGATTTCATAGGTTTTTTCCAGTCTCATTGATTCTGTGATGTATCCTGGTAAACACTAGAATGTATCCACTATAGTTCCTCCAAGGTGCATTATTTCATAGAGATACTGTGAAGGTTTCCCCACACATCTGCTAGTATCACTATTATTGGATGGTCTATGCAGCAGTTAGCATTTCCAGCTACTTCCTGTAATCCTATACATGAGATCAGCATCATTTCAGTAATCCTGTTGGACCATTTACACTGTGATCTCTGTTACTGACATGAGAGAAGCTGAACTGAGATTTAAAAAAAAAAAAAAAAAAAGGCAAGAAACCCCCAGCTGGTTCCAAACTGGGTCCCTGACAGGCTTGGCTTCATGCAGACTATTCTGATAATCTGTTTTTGTTTTAAGGTAAGTGGTGATGGCTTTTCAAAAAAGAAGAGATATTCTTAGTGACTGGAAAAGCCTGCCAATTCTCAAATTTGTCAGAAAACGTTTTCCCTAAGACAGATCTGTTGAAGTTGAGCATATGTGTGGCTTTGTCATTTCTTGTCTCTTAGAAGATCGAGAAGCTCAGTTTCCTTCCCTTCCTTCGAATGTCTCCCTTTGTAGCCACAGATGCAGCATTTGTAGTTCTTTGCTGTAGTGCATAGAATGACATGGGCATTAATGCTTGAAAATGCATCTGCCTGCAGAACACACTTTTTTTTCAATGCCTTTAAAAGCATGTGATCAGTCTATGAAAACATTATTACTGAGAGTGCAGTTCTCGAAAAACTAAAATGCAGAAATGAAAATACATATGAAGACATATGCAAGGATGTTCACATAAAATACTTGTCTCATGCTTGAAGAGACAACTTCCAAGATTTTGAGTCTACCTGTTAATCTTTGCAATAGTCAGAAAGTTCTCAGATCAAGCTGGAGAAGTTGTAAGCTGAGGACAGATGGTGCTAATAAAATTGATTTAATGGCCTGGGCCCATTTTTTAATGGTTAAATGCTATGTAATGGATACTGCCAGATAGAGCTGATAAAATACCAACATGTGGTTAGAAGGAATCCTGTGGTTTACAGGGTGGAAAAGAGGCATAAAGATCTAGTTGCTTATATGAGAAGGGAGAAGATATGCATGAATTGAAAAGTTCTGCATCTGGAGTGGTCCAGAAAACAAAAACACATTAAAGGAAAATAAAAAGCCTGAAGAAACACAGAACATTCATTGAAGGTGATGGCTGATATTGATGAGTTCATAGTTACGAGAGTAATGCAGTGTTTGAGTCATACATTCCTGAAATGTTATTAAACCACCGGAAAACATGCTCTTTATATGAATTGGAAAGAGTCCAGTGTTCTGGGTGTCTAAAAAGCTTGCTTAAGAAGGCAGAAGAAAGGAGGTAAAATACACAGTCAGCTTCTGTAGTTTTCTCAGTTCCTATATTATGGCCTCCATGTTATACCAGTTTTCAAGCTACCATTCTGATGACAGTGGTTTGTACCATACTTTGGGTCACATAAGTGTTTCAACCAGGGGTGTGCCTCAAAATGAGGACCAGCTGTGGTCTAACCTGCAGATGCAGTTAATACTGAATTCAAACAAATCACTTTGGTTACAACCTACAGAGACTACTCTGAAAATCTAGCTTTTCCTGTTGTGGTAGGACCTGGAGGAACAATTAAGGGATTAAGGCATTTGTATTTGTTTGCTTCCTGTGTCCCTCATCTTACTGTTTAACTTTTGGCTCTGGGTTCAATTCTTTGACAGAACTCCCTGCAGACACTGAATTCCTGGAAGCCGTAACCAGTGCTTTGAGGGCTCTCCTACAAACAATGGCATCAAAGAACATCTCCCAGGTAAAAGCTTTCAAACTCAAATGCTCTGCTAGGTTCACATTTGGGTGAGATTGGGCTGGAAAGTTTTTGAAACAAAATTATTTAAATGAAGTGCAAAGTAGCAGGTGCAGACACTGACAGAACAGATTTAATAGCATCAACTCTTAATGTTTTTCATGGACCTTACAGTAATACTGTTTTGTTTATCTCTTCACATGTAAACAAATGAAAGGTATTTCAAAACAAGAAAATCCAGGTAGTAGCTTTAGGAGATGGGTATAATGACAAATATTTAGTAAATTAGCACCTAGAAATGCGCATTTTTTATTTCCTGATGTCACCTAATTGAAGCTGGTTGTCCTTCTAGAATCTTGGTTGGACATGAATTAGTGAGCTAAATACAAGAATGAAGCATTTTGTTATACAAGACATAATACTAGGTGGTTTGCTGGTCCTTTCTGGCTTTAAACTGAAAAATGAGAGCTTCTGTGCTGTAAGTTATAATGGGGTGGAAGCAGCTATTGAGCAAGGTAAATTTGTGAAAATACCTTTGGGCTTAGAACTTTTCCTTCACTTTCATGACAGCATTGGTTATGTTCTGGAAGAAACACCTTAAATTGAAAGGAGAATTTGACAGTTTTCTTGGTAATTACATTTTCAGAATTCACGTAGTTTTCATAATCCAGGGCTCTTTATTTCTCTATTATAAATTTCCCTGTGTTCTGGAAAAGCAGAGTAGCTAAATGTCACATTGGAAAATTTCCATGAAAGTGCGAATGTCTTCCTTCTTTCCCTCCCTTCCCTTGTTGTGCAGTGTATGACTCCTGAGCAGCTGTTGGCTTTATGTGAAGCTGGTATTCACAGCAGCAATGCCAGTGTTCGAGTGAACGTAGTGAGCATCCTTGGAATTGCTGGCAGCGTCTTGGCAAAAGGACAAGATACAGCTGAAACACTAAAGGTGAAAAAGCAAACTTTGCATTGCAAACCTGTATGAATTTTGATATTTCTTTCAGTTTTCCCTTGTTGGAAAAATCAATTTTTCTCTCTTATTTCAGATGATTGGAAAATTTCTTCTTGAAGTTGCTATGAAGGAATCTTCTCTTGTGGTAGCAGGGGAAGCCTTGGATGCACTTTTTGATGTATTTGCAGATGGTGAAGAAGCAGAAAAGGCGGCGGTGCAGATCAAGTTGCTTCCAACACTGAAGGAATTTCAGCCAGTGTTCAGAACAAGGGTAGGCATCAAGTGCAGCCAGCTCAGGGTCTCAACACACAATGTGCATTAAAGCTTTGAGATTTGGGCTCCTAGAAGAAGTAATTAAGCAGTATTGTATAGCTTCATAAGATGGCAAAAAACCCCAAAAAGCATGTGATTTTCTGATATTCCACTTTAGAGGAAAGCAAATACACTTACCTTAAAGTTCATGGAACTGTCAAGGTGATAGCACAGCTCCTCTGTTGCAACATCTGCATTACACCGTCAGTATTATTGATGTCCAAATCACTACATTGTTCTGAAACACTTGCAAAAAAATCCTTCAGGTGTCCCTGGAGGAGTGCAGCTACATTAGTGGGAGAGAAGTCTCTTCTGAAGTTACATTGACATCTTTTGTTTTTTACTTCTTGTAGTTGCAGGTGGATGCTTTTGTTCTGCTGTTGATTAGTTAAAACAGATCATGTATTCTGTGTTCTCAAGAATAACAAGGCCAGCATTCTAAACTGTAATTTTAGGTACATCCTTGGGATGTACCTAAGGGAATGACCTTCCACCTATTGTTTCTTTGATCAGATGAAGCCCTAGGAGTGACTGTCATAGTCTAAAAGCTAAGCACCATACACACAAAATACATACCTGATGGTGCTTCAGTTGTGTGGTTAGATGTACAAAGTTTTCCATATAAAAAGCTGCAGAAAAGAAGTGTGTATTTCAGATATTTGAGTGAATATCACACCAATAACGTAGTTTTAGGCAGCAATGTACTATAGTAAATTGACTAGCTCCACATGTGCACATGAGCACCTTGGAGTTCTCAAAAGCTGTGGGTAGCATATCCTGACAGAAGACCTGTATATAGAATTACAGTAGACTTGAACTGATCTAATAGGAGAAACCTCTGCATTAGTAAAGCATGTACTTTTTTTTGGTTTTACAGATGCGAAAAGAAGGCAAAGGACAATGTAGTACAGATCAACTGTGTGTTCTTGACAATGTGAGGATGAATTTGAGAAGATTCATTGCATATCAGGAGACACTAGGGAAAACTCCAACTTGAAACATCGAGGAACTTTTAAGGTTTCCCTTATTGAGTAATGTTTTTAAAAAATATAACCATTTTGAACTTCTAAAATTTACTGAGCAGAGCAGTTTTGCTTTGATGTTAATACTACGTTTTGTAATGTTCAGTATTTTTATACACTTGGGTTGATGCAATATGAAAGTCACACCAGCACAAAAAACCCCGTAGCATACTCTGAGATTGTTGCAGTGATAAGAAGGTGCTCCTGCAGCCCTGAGGTCTGTGCACAGCACCACTGTTGTTCTTTAGAAATCTTCATGTACCCCGGCAGAAAACTATAACTGTGTGAAAAGGTAATTTGGAGAATATTCTCAGTTATGTACCAGATAAGGAAAAAAAATTAAAAAGCTCAAGATATATTTAAGGGAATTGAGCAGTGGCAGAATGTTCTTATTTGCTGTTTGCTCTTACCTGCTCCTAGAATTGCACAGGCATTTATGGCAAGCTTCCCAAGAGAAGTTTGTGACAAGTGTGTGGATTCCTGTCAGTACTTGGTTCTGTTATTTCATGAGGAGAAAACTGTTTCAGATTCATTTATGATAGCTTTTTGCTGTGGAAATCTGTGTAAGCAGGTCCTACACTTAGACACAGCTCCCTGTTTTTACTTTATTTCAATTGGTATTTCTAAAAATCAAGTCTCTTAATTTACATTCTTCCTTGTAATTCTACATCAGGATGAATGTGAATTCAAGGAAGTAATAAACCAAATAAAAAGCATTTTTTATATTGAGGTATTACCTAAAGTAAATTTATAATTGCTTAAAATACCTTTTAGAAATATTTGCGATGGAGATTTTTAAGCTGTTATTTTCAAAAAATGTCACCAATTCATGAAGATTGTATGTAAACTTCCATATATCAAGAACTTTGGTTTTATTTCTTTGAATGAGATTCTATCATACATATTTTTCAAGAAAAAACCCAAAACACAACCAAACACAAAAGTATTTTGTTGTGCTGGGTTTTGAAATAGGAGGGCTTTTTTCCCTCTCTCTTAATGCACTGTCTTAGTGCAGGCATCTAGTTTTTGGCAAAAGTTTGCCCATGGTGTTAACCATGGAACTTATAAAGACCAAATTTACTCAGTTTGTTAGATTTCAGTCTCTAAGATTGGAAAGCAGACTTGGGAACTGACTGGATGACTTGCAAATGACTGACTTTATGAAATCCTGGCATATGGTATTTTGTCAAATGCAAGAGAAAGTAAAAGATGAGTTTAAGCAGCTCTACTGCCTGGAAGTCCTGTCACTGCTGTGACTTTGCAGGAGTCGGATGAAATGTGTGATGTGATGCCTGCTAATCAAGTGAGAGTGTGTGACTGGGAGGGCTCCAGGGTCACTGAGCATGACCTGGAGAAATCCAGGAGAAGTCATGAGGAGCATGGTCGAGAGGTTATCCAGGGATTTAGCAGGGCAGGCAGTGAAAAGGGCCAAAGTGTAACACCTGAGGAAAAGTGGATTATGGCATAAGACTGCACAGTATGTGGATTTTAATCCTTGTGTTAGTTATACTTGCTGTACACTGAGGATAGTATAATATTAGCCTGATGAAAGGTATTAATATTTGTTTAGCCCCTAAAGGACTTTCTTGTGGGATGTTCTACTCTTAGTTTCTGGATGCTACATTGAATTGAAGGATTATCTAGATTGAAAAGGATCTCTGGAGGTCTCTTAGTGTAGTTTCTGGAGTCAGACAAGTTGTGCTGTGCCTTGAACATCTTCCAGGATAGAAATCCCACAACTATGACAGCCTTTTCCAGGGCTTGATTGCCCTCACTTGAAATTCTTTTTTTTCCTTTTCCCCTTTGTGCCTTGTAGGACTTTCCCGTGCTGCAAAATGCACCTCTTGTCCTTTGCACGCCACCCTGAAGAGTCTGGCTTCATCTCATAACCCCCACTTGTTAGCTGAAAACAACAATTGAATTCCCCTCTTCTCCAGGCCAAATACACCCAGCTCCCTTAGCCCTTCCTTGTACTAGCTGGAGTTCTGACCCTCTAACCATATTAATGGCCTTCTGCTTGACCTGCTCTGCTGTGCCTTGTACTGAGGGGGGCCCAAGACTGAACACACTTCCTCAAATGTGATCTCATAAGTGCTAACTAGAGGGAAGTCATCGGTTTTCTTAACCTGCTGGCCATGCTCCTGCCAATAGAGCCTGTTATTTGTTAGTTGTCATCACTGCAAGGGTGCACTGCTGACTTCTCTTCAACTTACTGTCCTCCAGGACCCTTTGGTCCATCTCTCCAAGCTCTTTGGTCATTCAATCAAAAGCCTGCTCTGTTTCAAGGGATAACTCTGTCCCAAGTGTAGGACTTTGCATTTTACACCAAGTGTAGCAGTCAGAATCTGGTTCCTGGGGACTATTGGAAAAATAGAGTATGTTATTTTCTGTTTAGGGGTTTTCTTTTAGTTTAATAATGAGAAGAAACATTTCATCTTCAAATACAAATCTGAAAATTGCAGAAAAATATATAGAAGATAGGGCATCCACTACAAAAAATTGTTTTCTTAATACAGTCTATCAGACCATGTTTTTTTCCTTCAAGTGAAAAAACAAACTGACATTTAGATCTTACACTATTCTGACAGTAAGAATGCATAGATTATTTTTTTGCTATGCACTGATCAGTTGAAGGTCTTAAATATTGTGTCCTAGGTGCATAGTATGAACCATATTGCTTGCAGAAGTATGTGATTTTTAGTGCTTAAAATACTTGCTTCTGTCTTCTGGTACATATGCCATTTCAAACTAATAGCCGAAAGAGAAATGAGGACATGGGAAAGCATTTTGTTTTCTTGCAAGTTTGTACTAAACCCCTGACATACAAACCCTAAAACAGTCCCTTCACCTGTTCCATCTGAGGACACCACAGCACTTCAGTGAGCCTGTTTGGCTGAGGGCATGAAACACTGACAAGCTGGTGGCCCTGTCTCCAGCTCACCAGGTATGTCTGGGTGATAGAGAGGTGAGCTGGAACTCTTGGGAGCAGTTTTTGTACTCCATTGCTAATATTAATGACATTAGATGTGATTTCCTAATATCCCATGTTGTAAGATCTTTGCCAAGGTCTATAGCCCTCACCAGTGGCTCATGGCAAAATGGAGCCTCCATCTTCCTTTGGGGTTTCTAAGATACTGTAGTTATCTAATAATATTAAACCAACTGTGTATTTTGTTTTTCTCTGTCCGTATTTTTATTTCTCTGAATGGGAAAAATCTTACTCTATCATCTGCCCAGCTGCCAGCTCAGTGTCTGAGTGAGAGGCAAAAAATTTGTATGTTACTTTAGAGAGCACATCGTGCTTGTAAGGGACAAGATGGAAATAATAGAAAGACATGGATAACTTCTGAAGACTTGCATCTGTGGAAGACAAGCAAGTTATCAGTGATTTAAAGAAGTGTCAGATCATGACCTAAAGCCAGATGAGATATATAGGTACAGAAGAGCTAAACTGTAAAATTAGGGCTGTGAAAGTTGTTCTGATGCAATTAAGGCAGCAGCAGAAGTGATGATGTGCAAATTAAATATTTTGGGCACTCTTTTGACACTGGTTTATTTTAATAGGTTTAGGGTAGGCCTCAGATGAAGGCAAGATCCTTGACAGCCTCCAAAGGGAAAGACAGATCTTGAAGATACTTAAAGGGTGGCAGAAATTGGACTGATCTAGGCAGTGTGCAGCATAAGTAAATAGATGCTAAATAGATGTAAGTGATCTTCATCAGTTCATGTAATCACACAGATAAGAGTGGTATCAAAACAGGTATCTGAATTTGTTTGCTTATTCTGATCCCTAAGGCATCATCTGTCTGTACTTCAGTTAAAAACTGCAATCCTTGGAAAGCATGGATTGCTGGTTTCTTTGTCTCCCTGTCTGACACTGAGCACAACAGAATCTGAGTCTTGAGATGATACCAAAATAGGTGCTGAATTTACATCGGTCTGTGGTATCAAGGGGAGTGTGAAGGGGGCTGTGGGCCCCCTGCCCTGTTCAGAAGCAGTGGGACCCTGGCATTTGCTGCTACTTTGGTTTCTTCAGCCTGCAAAATGTTGAATCCCCAGCTGTGTAGAGAAGGAGTTATCATTGCTGTGTGGTTTTAGTTTTGCTCTCTACGAAAAGAAACAAGTGGCAAGATTTAAATGAGCATTTGTTTTGAAGTACTTTTTTTATACATCATGCCTTGACATTCAGAAGATGGCTGTATAGCACAGTAGAGTCAATAGCTGAACTATTTGGGGGTTATGGTGTGTGTTGAAGGTATTGTTTTGCATAGCCTGTGGTTTTTTTAAGGATTGTCATCTTAGAGGAACAAGAATAACTTCAACCAGTACTACTTGGCTTGGTTTTATGTTTGTATTTTAAGAGAAAAATACATAAAAAATGAGAGCACAATAAAATTACAGAAGAAGAACTGTGTTGGAAAACAAATAAATTTAAAATTTGTTTGTAGTTTAAATGTTATAAATGAAATGCATATCTTGTGGAATATTAACATAAAAAAAACCCCGACCAAAAATGCCTATAAACTCAAGTTCTGTTTTCTTAGTAAGTGATTTTCAGTAGAAGCATTTCCAGAGGACTGGATAGAAACATCTAGCCTTACATTTACTGTTGCAAATTCCAATTCAGGCAATGGCAGTGGTAATTGAAAATAATGTAATTGTTTCTTTTTGGCACAGGTGACTTGAGCAAACAGTCTAAATATAGTTTGAGCTGGACATGCTGTTAAGATATATAACAGTAAGGTATTTGGCAAAAACTGAAAACTCTTGACAGTCAGGTCAGATTAAGGAACTTGAAGTTTTTCCACCAGGGCTGACAATAATGGTGAGCCTTTCTGTTTGAAGAAGCTTTTACTTGACTGCTGGGGTTTTTTTGGTCTGATTTCCAAATAAATTCACGCTGTTAATTTTGGTACCTTCTGGGGAAAAATAGGAGGTGTTAAAGTCAATTCACTTCAATTTGATTTTGTTTCTGTGTTATTTTTGCAAGTTTCTTGTTTCTGTGAGAGGCATTTTATCATACATACCGACATAGTTCAGTGACCACATAAAACATAGTTTGAGACTTGCACACAAAAGGATATGGTAAGATGCCTTTTTTTCCCCTCAGATCTGGGTTTCAGGAACTTGCATTACTGCTACATTATGGGCTTAAATCAAACAGCTTGGGAAGTGAACTAAGGTCCTACTGTAACAACCCGTATGCAGTTGGAATGATCGTGGCTGCTACGTGTTCTCAACACAGGGAGAGTCCTGATGCAGCCCTGGGGTTGTGAGGTGCTCACATAAATCATGTACCAGCGCTTCAAGATGCACTAGGATTTCAGTAAACCTTCTCCAGTTTTGTGTTCCTGTTATGATAGAAGTCCTGTCAAGGGTTGTTTTCTCTCTCCTCTGACATATGAATTTTTTTAGAACTTTTAAGGAATATTGCACTGGCCTCTTTCCTCCTCCCCTCCCCTTCAAATGGAGAGTGAAAAGCACTTCCAGAATTTAACGGAAGAACAGCTGATTCAGCCAGTAAATGCATGATGTTTCTGAATAACCTTTTCTGGCAAGTTCTCTTTTTAGAGAGTAAAAGAGTTAAATTCAGAGTGTTGATTAAACAAAACACTCCAAACCATAATTAAGTGTGGGTTTTGTTTGTTTTTTATGCCCCCATACCTGGGTATACTTCCTTATCTAAAGCATTTGTGGTACCTGTGTCATGTCCTGGCTATATTTGCTTGGGACTAGGGTTGCTACGGAGGAATCCTGTAAATTAATAAACTTCAGTCTTATAATAAAACTTGTTTGTATTTATGTGCTATGAGTGTAGACCAAATCATGGGGTTTTGCAGAATTAACTTTATTAAAGAAGTAAAGAAAACAAACCAGTTTTTTCTTCTGTTACTGTTATCTCCTTAAGGATACCAAAAGCCTTTATTTGACTTATGCTTTTCTCCGTTGCATTAAAAGTTTATGAATTCAAACCTTTTTATTTGCATCTTTGATGTGCAGGAAACATCAGGATCGACCTTTATCTTTTCCTGCTATGCTTATAATTTTCAGAGTAACTGAAGAATATAGAGTTTGGAAAACAGGGTTATTCAATAGTGGGCTTTCCCCATTTCCAAGATGTGTTAAGGTCCTACCAGCTTCCACTTGGCTTTTGGTAGTAGGTTTAGGTAAAAATCCTGATTTTCAAAGCAATTAAGTTTGTCAACTCAAACCTCAAATTTCAACCACAGCTTGCTGTGGTTGGTTTTCTCTTGGGCAATGCAGATCAGACATGCCGTGACAGAAGAGGGGAGAGTTGAGGACAAAAATGTCCTGCTCTGGGATGGTGGGGAGAAGCCAAAACTTCAGTCTTTGGTTGTCACCAGGAAATGGTGCTAAGTCTTCTTCTTTGCAAACTTCGTGGGACGCTCGGAATTGGAATGTGACTTTTTAATTCCAAAACCTCCACCTCCAGCTTCCTAAAGAGAAATCCTCTCCCATGCAATTCTGAAGCTGGGGGAAGAAGCACCAGGCCCTCCATGCAGCGTGCTGGAAACTTTGTAGCCGATATTAAAGATGTTTAAAGGCTGTAGTACGAAAACACTCAAAATAAAACTGAAAGTGACAAGACCTGGTGCTACTCCGTGTTGCTGTTTGGGGCGTCGTGTGTGATGTGTTTTTCCATCTGCAGGCAGGGCTGTACCTAGGGCTGCCTTTCCCTCTGCTTTGGAGTTGAATGAAAGGCAGGAAGAGCCAGAAGTATCTGTGCCCACCCCCAGAAGAGTTTTAGGGGAGAGCAGCGGCGGCTGTCGG